CTAAAACTTCTTTCTAAGTACACATAGTTTTCCAAAAAAACTGAATTTGCTGTTCTTAGAGTCATGATATGCTTCTTAATGACGTGACAAAGAACAAACCGATTATTTTGATCTTTTGATCTCTCTGCAGGTGTTCACTCATTGACGATGAAGTCTAGGACTCCTATTCTTCAAAGCATGACATTTCTAATATCAAATTCCAGAATTATTTTATGTTTTATCAAGATTTGTAGGCAGTTTGATTACTTAGCAGACGTTGTGGATAAAATTTTACTGTTTCGTTAAGCTAGGGGCACGTAAATCTTTATAATGTATAGAAAAATTTAGAACAAAACAACTTTCTTTAGTCTTTGGAACTACAAAAACGAAACACAAATGTCATTTTCAGAAACTAAAGGTTGCAGGTTGTAAATACATTGACCTATCGCAAAGCAGCTTCGACTCTCACAAAAGAAAATATTATCTCGCTGTCAATAGAATGATTCATATAAAAATATGTGTGGATAAAATAGAGAGTCTTTGATGATTTCTATTAACATCAGGTCCATTTTGTCTAGTGAAGAGAAAAAAATTCTCAAACGGGGTAGAAGATGTACACGGCAGTACAGTTTCCATGAGATATTGTACCCAGAAACGGAATAGATATGGCATCTCTGTCTATAAATCTTACCAGTGCTCTTTTCAAGTGCATCAAAGCTTAGGATCAGATGATTTACGCTAATATTTTTTTTCTAGAGCTTTGACTGATTACGTAGTCGTTACTGTTCAGTTTAAGTTTTTCGGTTAACACATGATTAACTTAAAACTAAGTGATTAAATGATTGGGGGAATAGTGATGTTATTTCACTCCAATTTTTCCGTCAGGAGAGGTCTGTTTGGTGAAAATAACTGAACTTTATAAGACTTGGCTGCAGGTTTTTGGAGTCGATGAATCCGAATCTGCAGTTGGTTGGTAAAAATTTTTGAGTTTCATTTTTTCATCCCACGAAGACCTATCTCCATGACTTGCGGAAATTTTGTAAAACATGATTGAACCTATTGTAAGTTAATCTTCTGAAGCCGAAAGAATCAAACTTCAAGACTTCCATAAACCATCTGTAGATTCAGATCCTTCGAGTCTGAACACTTTTGGTAGAGTTTTATAAAACTCAGCTGTGTTCTTGAACAAAGACCTTGCCTGAACACAAAACACAAAAATAGAATGGTTTTATCTTTACTCCAATCACTTAATCATTTGGTCTTAATTAAATTAAATGTCAACAGAAAAGGCTAAATTTAATATTAACACTTTCGTGATCAGTTGAAGCTTACCACAACATTAGGATAAGTAGTTTAACTATAGACTTAGGTAAGTCTAAAAATGTTTCTCATTAGGTGTCTAGATAGCTCTTAAAAAGCCGCAGATATAATGCCAAGATTTACCTTACAAAGTTATTGCTACGATGCCCAGGTGGGCCTAAAAAAGTTGCACGCATGGTGTACAGTTAATTTCTAATAAATTGCTGCAGAACAGTCAAAAAAAGTCCGAAAATTTATGGCTAAATATAATCAGAAAGTATGGATTCAAATCTTATTGTTAGAATTTGGATGGAAAAGTATGCTTAAAATTTCGAGTTTACTTGGCGAGCTCACTTATCTTTGTCGATTATAGTCCATTTTTTATTAATAGTAATGCTTCATTGATCAATAAATACATAAAATTAAAATAACATAAATTGTCCGTCCTACCTGCTCAGCACAGCTTATCTAATCAACACGGTCTCGACCCACCGGTCGTTTTATGCAATGACACGTTTCGTCGCTAATACAAGATAATTATTTTGTAAGATTTGTTTCAAACAAAATCTTGATTGCTAGTGATTGTCATTGATTATGAATCATTGCTGATAATTGCCATTGATTGCCAATGATTGCCCATGACTGCAAATGATTGCCCATGATTGCCAATGATTACCCATGATTGCCAATGATTGCTTTGATGGCAATCAGTTTTTTCCCTCTTGGATATAAGTATACACATTCAGGTAGACCGATAGACACGTATATATCAAAGCACATATACGTGAAGAAATAAGGCATAGATATACGAAATTAGATATAGACTCAAAGTACTAGACATAGATGTAAGAATTTACACAAACATTTAGGAGTTAATACAGAAATAAATGGTTTGATCAAGCGAAAACAAATTAGGTTAACAGATAAGCGGTTCAAACAGGTATAAGTGGTTAAGGACAGAAGTAAAGGGTCAATTATTGAAATAAGGGTTGGATATACGAAAAAAGATTAGATATAGGAATAAGGGATTCAGAATAGAAATAAAGTATTATATATAGAATTCAGAGGTTAGATATGTAGAGTGTTCAAAAAATCATGATCACTTAACAAATGCATATAACTCCATTATTAGTCAAGCTTTATCTAATAATTTTTTTATTTGAAAGACGAGACTAATAAGTTTTTTATGCATAGAGAAAAATTTGCTAGATATTGTTCAAAGATATTACCTTTAACGTCAATACAAAAATTTAGACGTTTCACAATTTCTGAACAAATACTGGGTAGGCCATACGGAAATGGTTGTACTTTGTATCCTATATTTTCATCACTTATTTTGCCTTCTTAAGAAAACCAAATATACCAAAAGATGCAGCGTGAACAGCTCTACAATTTGCACAAGATAGTTTTTTCTTACATTTTACATTTTTTCGTTTTCAAAACCGACAAACGATGAAATTAAGAAAAACGAACTCATCATGTATGAAGCTCAGTTCGAGTCTGTTAGAGTAGATAAATCCGTTGAGACAAGGTATTCATTGAATAAATTAGATATCAGGAAGGCTTAGCTTCGCTATTGTAAGGACACATCGCGCAACTGTTAGGGTCATATGAGGGAAAAATCCTATGGACTCTAACTTGTCCAGAAAACTGTGTGCTCCGTCGTTACAATAGCGGCGAAAAGCCTTTCTAAAAATTGATTGGTGGAAATTTTTGTATCAGCGAATCAGCCTTAAAGGTGCTGGTTCTCTGCTTCAGAATTATCAAAACATAGTGTTATTCGCGTCGATGCGGTAATTGCAAGGAATCAGTCCTTTTCTGACAAAAGAATGAATACAACAGTGTCTTCTACTAGTGAATTACTTAACCGCTTACTATTTATCAAACAGATTCTAAGTAAAAAAATTAATTTTAATATTGATGATTAAGTGATCACTAGCACTTAACATTTAGTGTGAAGTCATTACTCTTGACTTCATATGAAACTAATGCAAATGGTGCAGCCTTACTTCCAACCTCCAGTTAGATTAATAATATTCGTTATTTCGAATATTACATGCAGAGAAGACCTGCTAACGCTCAGATGAGCGGTTCGTGAGCGTGAGCTCTACACCGCTGACATGAACCTACCCCAGAGTAGCCATTGAAGAGTTATAAGTATCCTCTGCATAGACTTCGACGAATCATAAGTATCCCCATAGTTGACCCTTGAAAACCTCCGAGTATTAGTGTCAGTGATGATATATACTGACGCTAAATGAAGATTAAGATGGTCCTTCTAGTCTAACTGGCTTAGGACATCTGCCCGGATAGCAGAAGGTGTAGGTTCAAGTCCCACGAAGGTAATCTTTTTCTTCGTTCTGTCACATAACATCATTGACACTGCTTGTACTTTAGTTCTATACATATTGACTTAACACCAAGTACGCTTCCTGGTTAGACTTCGAAGAATCATATGTATCTCTGGATGACCCTTGAAGGTCTCTAAGTACTCCAATGGATAGTCCTTGAAGAGCTATAAGCACCCTCCCTGGACACGCCTTGAAGACACATAAGCGCTCTTCTGGATAGCCCTTGACAAGTCATAGGTACTCTCTAGATAGCTCTTAACGAATCTAAGTATTCATGGGTGCCTCTTGAAGACCTCTGAGTACTCTTCCTGGATATATCTTGAAGAATTATAAGTATTCCCCTGGATCGGTCTTGATGAGTCATGGGTACCCTCTCTGGATAGCCTTGAAAAGTTAGAAATAGCAGTCCATAACTTACAGGTAATAGATGTATTAGAATTATTAATAATGCTAAATTAATGCTAATACCAAGGCATTAATTAATTCTAACGCCAATAATACTAAAGCATTAGGCTTATTGATTAATGCTAATGCCAATTCTAACGCGACACTCCCACACGAATTATAAGTTTGTATTGCTCAGTCTCGACAATATTTCATAAAGTTATGTAAAAATTATTTTTCCTTTGACAGAATAAACTGGTATGCGTATTGATGAAGAAAAACTTCTTACACATATCCACACTCCTTTGATGTGTTAGCAAAAAAGCAAGTTCATTTAGAAAGTGCGTTTCCTATTGAGTGCTTTGATTCTATTGCCTTCTCATGGTCTTCATCTCTCTCTCATTTCTTTTCTTGTGTTTCTTCGGTGTTACTGTATTTGTACGTGACTGGCGAACGTCAGTCTCGTCAAAGCTGCTTTGATAAGGTGTCAGACCGGATCAGTTTTCGACTTCCTCAGTTCTTTGCAACCATGAAAGAACATGCAGCATTGGCCATTTTAGATGATTTGTTGAATTCATGATGATGTCAAATTCTATTTAGCAATCAATGAGATTTAGCATTCTAGTATAGTGGTTCAAGATGAAGAATCGCTTTTTTATTTTCACAATTGTTACTCTGGTATTTCTGTTGATGATCTACGTCAAATATTCGATCAATATCAATATATTGTTATCCAAAAGAAGAAGTTCACAAAATGTTGATAACAATAGAATTCCATCGATCGTGCATTTTGTCATTGGACAAGGGGATAAAGATAATATCAAGCACAAATATAAAACATCGAGTTCATTCTCTTTCATCAACTATCTCACATTTCTTGCTGCTCGTCGTCATCTTCGTCCAGACAAATTCTTTGTTCATTATTATTATGAACCAAATACATTTTGGTGGAATAAGACTAAACATGATCCTGAAATTAATCTCACCATGATTAAGAAACGACAAGTAAAAGAAATTTTTAATAAATCTGTCGATCATCATGCTCATCGTGGAGATATTATGCGACTTGAAGTGCTCATTGAATATGGAGGAATTTATTTGGATTCAGATGTATTAACACTTCGTTCATTTGATCCATTATTGAATTTGAATGATGTCATCATGGCTCATCAAGATGATGGAATTAAAGTTTGCAATGCAGTAATATTAGCAAAAAAAGATGCTACATTTCTCAAACGTTTATACGATGCTTATCAAAGTTTCAATGAGAATTGTTGGGATTGCCATTCAGTGAAACTTCCCGGACAATTAGCATCAATCTATCCAAATGACATCACTGTCTTACCTACGAACGCATTTTTTCGTCCCAGTTGGAATGAAAAAGCAGCTTTATATGCATCAAACAATTATGATTTCACTCCGAATTATGCATGTCATCTTTGGAATAAGAAAAACAATCATGATCATCTGAGTCGATTAACACCTGAATTAGCCTTAAATGCAAATAATACTTTTGGAAGAATGTTACGTCATGCAATCGGCAATGCTACTTTGCTTAAACTCAAGGAATTCTTTAATTCATGAGATCATTGATTTCGCTTTGAATCTTGAATGAACTCATTATTCTTTCATAATGCAATCAAATCAGACTAACTCAATCTTCCGATTTGACCAGAAGACTCCTGATTTCCAAACTTTGCCTCTGAAAGAAAATCTCCTGACTTCAGGAGTTGATTTTTAATACTTTCTCCTCATGTCTCCTATTTTTAGGTTTTCACTTTAACTTGTAGAGACATTAAGAATTAATAACAAAAAAAGAAAGGACAATAGAGTTATCGCAATGTTAATAGACATTTTTCTGAAGGTATTTTCAGTCCTATGGAATTTTTTCAGATAACAACTGAAACAGAATGGTACACGACTTTCTTGGAGCAGAATTTGAAATAAAAATGAAGATTAACTACTAGTGTCCACAATTTTATAATTATCTTCTATGTAATCCACATTTCTGTGAACTAAGTCCCTTTTTCAAAACAATGCATTCATGTTTATGTCAAAATTCATCGAGAGAAAGGCTGGTGTGCTCAGAAGCTTACTGAAGAATTAAATCAATGTGTATAGCAGGCTAATATGATGGTTGTATCGACGAAACGAAGAATAATATAATATTAGCCACTTTCTACAGCATGTACACAAGTGGACAAAAGTATCCCCCCCCCCCCCCACCCTTGGATCGTAGCTTCTATAAGAGCTAAACATCTGAAAATCGGTCTATAGGTAGTCCACAGAGAATGTAAATCGACAGTACCATCAGTGTCAAAATTGCTCAATGCTAGAACGAAGTTATAATAGGTGCCGTCCACCTTCCTTGTAAATTTCGTAACTCGATAATAGAAAGAGCTTTTGAGTCAGCCAATGGCTCATTTTGTAGCCCTACATTATGGCTATTTTCAGTATAAATTTTATCGAAATCTATCGAGTTGTTAATGAGCTAGACCTTTTTTAGTGAAAAGATGGATATACGCAAAAACAATAGAATGTCATTGAGTGATCAATAACTCGGTAATAGTTTGGTGAATCTATCTGAAATTTTTAAGAGATATTTCCATATAGGTGGCCATTGTTTTCTGAAAGTTTCAGAAGCAAATACTTTACTATATGGAAATGGTGCATCGATCACTATTGCGAACTTGTCAAGACTCTAGAGTCTCCGTTACTCAAGGAAATGAGCTCATCTTTTGAGCAATAAAGGATCATAAGTTGGACTACAAGTTCACGCTAAACGATCGATAATTACTTGTATATTTGATTAAGAATAGCACGTAAATTTAGTAAGATGAATTTTAGCTGTTTTCCTGCTAATATGACAAAACGTCTTCGTATGTCAATATTTCACTG